GACCGCATTCCAAGATCCTGGTAAACACACTGCTTCAACAGCTATGAGCACTTTCTGCCCCAAATCTCAGAACAACCATTTCACCCCCTCACATAGGCAGCATATCTAATAGTTCAGCCAACTCACGCCTGCTCCAGGCCTCCGCAGCCACCATGGACGACGTCAGCCCTTTCGCGGAGATCCTGGGCCAGGTCATCTATCAGTTTACCCTCATCAAGCCTCTTCTCCCCACCTACGGCCACCTCCTCCTCTCCGCGATCTTTCCTATCTATATTGGCGCGCATGCATCCTTAGCGAAACCGCCATCGGCCACGAAACCCCCCAAGAAAACACAAGGCTCCGGTTACGAATCGGATGACGATGAGTCGGAGGAGGAAAACAAAGGCAACGGCCACAAGATGGAGGGTCTGGCACCCAGCGACGCCTTGATGTTCCCTCTCACAGCCGGGCTCACACTTGGAGGACTGTATTTGTTCATCAAGTACAAGGGAGCTGAGACGCTGAACAAGATCCTTGGTTACTACTTCTCGCAGATGGGGCTCTTCTTCGCTATAGCGTTCTTGAAAGACTTTCTCTCTGTCGTCAGATCCTTCGTCTTCCCAAAGAGATACAGCTCCGCTGGCCGAACCTGGAAACAGAAACCCTCCGAGCAGGCTTTCCTTGCCGCCAAAGACGACCCAAACAGCCCTCAATCGGCAGACAGTCGGCGTTCTCCCCTCCCCGGCGTCTTCAGTCGAATCCCACTCCCCGGTGCTGTTCGTACTGCGATCTGGAAACTTCGCAGCACGCTATACTGGCGAGCCAAGCTTCGCGTTCATGTGCACCGGCTCGTGCGTGGCGAAGTCTGGCTGGATATGCTGGATCTCCTCAGTACCCTCCTGGCGTTGCCCGCGATCGGCTACTTCACATTCGTCACCAAGCCATGGTGGCTGACCAACTTCTTGGGCTTCAGCTTCTGCTACGGTACCTTGCAGTTCATGTCTCCGTCGACCTTCGTGACCGGATCGCTCATTCTGGGATCGTTGTTCTTCTACGACATCTACTTCGTCTACTTCACCCCGCTGATGGTGACCGTCGCCAAGAAACTCGACGTGCCCATCAAGCTTCTTTTCCCACGGCCTCCGGTCTCTGGCGAAGCTCCCGACACCGTGTCGCTGGCTATGTTGGGCTTGGGCGACATTATCATACCGGGTATGATGGTGGGGCTGGCCCTGCGCTTTGACCTCTACCTCTACTACAAGCGGAAGGGCTTGCAGAAGGCTCGGGCGGAGGGCAACGGAGTGGAGTTCATCAAGCCCATATACCAATCCGCCACTGGAGGCTGGGGAGAGCGCTTCTGGACGCGATCCGTGGCACCAAAGGAGCCTGAATTGCAGCCCCCGTACCACGATGCTCGCTCCTTCCCCAAGACGTACTTCAAGGCCAGTGTTGTGGGATACTTGCTGGGGATGATTGCGACGCTGGTGGTGATGCAGATCTTCGATCACCCTCAGCCCGCGCTCTTGTACCTTGTCCCCGGGGTCCTGATCTCTCTGTGGGGCACTGCCTTGGTCAGAAACGAGATTGGTGAGATGTGGGAGTTCAGTGAGGAGGACGAGGACGATGAGGAGAGTGACGAGAACTCAGAGGACAAGAAGGAGCATCCCGAACACCCAGAGAATCTGGGCTTCTTTTCTCGCATTCTCTCCTATTGCAAGAACCCCGACAGCAGCCGTGGTGAAACATCCGGAGAAAAGGACAAGAAGGCGGGAGGTGATGATGCTGATGCTGATGACGATGATAAAGATTCCAACACGTCCAGTGACAAAGAAGAGGAAGCTAAAGACTTTGAGTTGTTTACAGTATCCCTCTTCTATCCTAACAACCCGAAGAAAGCCGTCAAACCAAAGAGTCCCGCGCTCAGCAGTAAGTCGAGTGCGGCGGACGAAGAGAACTGGTCGGTTGTGGGCGCAGAGGGTGACAGTGAGCCCCCAACCAAACGTCGTCGGCGAAGTCCTCGACATGCAGGCGCAACCAGTCCTTGAAAGCATTGTTGAATAAGATGCATTGGTGGAGTTGCGGACTCGTTGCTTTTTAGGTTGCTGGTGCTTGTTGACTTACCTTAGAATATCAAATCAGTGACCACGAGAGAATGAGAAGAAAGCAATGAGAAAAGAGATGACAACGAATTTGGTATCATTTACTGTAACATTAGCTATTTTCACGCATGTTAGAAGAACAAGAAAAATAAGAAGAAAATCTCAACACAGCTCCAAGATCTGCTTCACACTCTCCCATCTCTCCGCCGCAATATCCACCAACTGCTTCAACTCCCTCCCATCCACCGCCCACCCACCATTCTTCTCCATCTTCACAATGACCGTCTTCCCCATCTCCTTATCCACCACCAAGCAAACCCGCTCCTGACTCAACCCCTCCTCATACCCATCAGGATCCGCCAAGACCCACCGCCGCTGCATGCCCCTGCGCTGATCCTCTTCAATCATCTTCTCCTCCGCAGCATCCGGCACAATGACCGCCCGCCACCCGGCGGCCGCATCCGCCTCGAACACACAGAACGAGCTCGCGACGGGCAACCCGCGCAGCGACAGCCTCGTCGCCTCCGCCACGGCCTCCGAGCACACGACCATCTCATTATCAGCATCCCACCACGCGCGCGGCAGCCGGGTATCGCGCAACGCCGCCAGCACCGCCGCCCACGCCGCGTCAAACGCATTGCCCGCCAGCGAGACGATCATGACATCGATATACAGCACCCAAAACGCCTTGATCTCTTTCCCATCGTTCTTCCCCTTCCGTCCTTCCCCCTCCGCATCCGCATCCGCATCAACCTCCATCTCCTCCTCCCCCGCAAACGTCGGCACCTGATACCACACCCGCAGATCCTCCGCCCGGACCAAGCGGGTGCTGTGCAGCAACCCCAGAATCTGATGCGACAGGGACTGCGCGAGCGCCGAGGGCGGCGCGCCCGGCACGAACCCCGGCGCGCAGCCGGTGCTCAGCGACAGGTTCGGCACGAGGAGGTGGAGGTCTTGGATCTGGGATTCTTCGGCGGCGGCGTCGGCGTCGGTGCCATCATTCTTGGTCGTCGTCGTCGTCGTCGTCGTCGTGCTCTGCTGGCGTTTTCGCGCATCGGGCGAAGCGTGCGACACGCTCCACGCGGCGATGTCGCTCGTCGGGAGGAGTTCGGCGCGCACGCCGCACACGGCGGTGGTGTCGCCCACGCGGACCACGGCGCTGCCGTTCGTGTGGGTGAGCGAGCCCGTGTTGGCCGAGGTGGGGCGGAACTGCGCGGGCTGGCGGCCGTTGGCGCGCAGGGAGGGTTGGTTGCTCGACGCCGGCGGCGAGAGGTGCGCGAGGAGGTAGGCGTGCGGTTGGAGGCGGGCGAATTGCGAGGGGGGGAGGGTGAGGGCTGGCGGCGGCGCTGAGGAGGCCATTGTTCCGTTCGTAAATGGGAGAGAGGCTCGTGTCGTTATTGATCTGATGCTTCGGCGTTGTGTTGGTAATTTGTCAAGATCGGATAGGGGAATTGGAGAGAGATGCTGCGCTTGGTTTGAAACAACTCTGTTGCTGTGTGAGTGAAAGTTCGTAGGTTCGTCGGTGGATTCAAATGGCGTTGCATTTTTCGGCGGCAGAATTGTGGGGATATTCTCGGGGCGGTGAAGGGGGGGAGCTCCAGCTGCTTAAGCCTTGATAGCGGCACTAGTTTGTACGCTATGCTCATAGTATATCGAATTATCGACTGCTGCCATCAGTCATTCTAGTAGATTAAGGCGTTTGTTTGCTACATCTAGGCTGGAACATCTTGTTCTTATGAATTTAAGCTGTTGAGGCATATGTGGTTTTGTCATTGTCATTAAATAGCTTGAGTGGATCCTATGAATTTACCAGAATACAATAGTGCTCAAAACTACACCTACTCTTGATCTCGCTATCCTATGCTTTTTCGCAGCATGAAAGGACGTCCTGCTGGACAGCGAGTGCAGGGGAAAAAAAAGAAACCGAAAAAGAGAAACTACCCGGGGCTGGGATTCGAACCCAGGCCTGTAATGGTGCGGATGGGTTTACCCCGAACGCAACTGCCGTGCTTTCCGCTACACCACCCCAGGTCTCGTTGACAGTACACGGCCAGTTCTTCATGACCTGCCTCCCAGGTAAGAGTCAAAGGCCCCCAACCGTGCGCAGAAGGCAATGGCATGGGCACAATGTGCCGATTCTGTGTCGATTTCGACGAGACCCCTCACTCGATACGAGACTAGGCGGTTCGGACCCTGATTGTGCCTTCTGCAGACCACAAAGAGTTACCACGCATACTCCGCCGTTTCCTCCTTCCTGCCCAGTTATCCACGTTGTAAGCATCGTAATTGCAAGGCAGGAGCGTTGAAGCAAGCGCAAGGAAATGAATAGGTGTCTTCGGATTTTGTTGAATTTTGACCTTCGAGGGCTTCGCGCGCGTAGTGGAGGAGAAGAGAAAGCTGAAAAGAGGCCAAAAGAGAAGGTTGCCGAGGCTGGGATTCGAACCCAGAGCTCCTCTCATGACGAGAGGCGTGTTACCAGTTACACCACCCCAGCGATTGTGAGCCGGCTGCCGATGCTGGTAGCGTAAGTCGGGCCCCCGCCTAGACGGCCCTTGCTCTCGAGCGCGGACTCGTTGCAGGTGCGAGCTGAAGAGAAGGCACGATGCTCGCCCTCCTGCGTGGTTACTGGTTTAGTGAGGGGGTGGGCAACAAGCGACACTGACCTGGCTATATTTTGCGCTATTTCCTGTAATTCAGATCCGGGTGGTTGCTTGACAAAATACCGCTGCTTTGAGGAGCTGCGAAGGATAAAGAAAAAGAACAAGGCCGCCGCCGCTGGAACTCGAACCCAGGCAGCCTGTTGGGGAGGGCGTGCTGCCAACCCGCTGCACCATACGGGCGACCGAAGGCGACGCCCTCGAACCTGAGACCTATACCGATCGTAGGTATACAATTTGGCAGGGCGAAAAAAAAAAAAGAAAGTGCCAGTGCTGGGGTTCGAACCCAGATCTCCTCAGGACGTGCGGGATGTTCTCCACTTACACCACACCGGCGATTCTTGGTATAGCGTTATCCTTTCTAGCTTATATCGTGGCAGGCGTACGATTTCTAGGCCCCAAGAAACGAAAAGAAAGGCTGCCAGGTACTGGAAAATGATCCAGGTGGTTCTCCAGCAAAACCCCCTGGGTTTAAACATGTTTTCCAATTACCCATACCAGCGAGATGTTGCTCAGGTGATGATCCCAATAGTAGGCGTGCTGGCAAACGCGGCGGCGGAAGTAGAAGAAGGCAAGAAAGAGCTTGCCGACGTCATGGCCCGAGGGGTTTTCACCCATTAACCCACACCGCCTGGTTGTTGATTGTCTGCTGCCTAGGGGTAGCAGTGGATGCACTGTGAAGAGAAATCAATTTCAAAATGAAGTGTTAGTGTTCATGATACAAGACTAAGGCGCATATAAAGCGTTCTTGAGGCAACGTCGTAATTTTCATCATAAGAGATCGTTGTGGGAAGAATCGAGTTGCAGGGAGAGATGAGAGAGTGATGAAACATTTTGAACAATGCGGGAATTTCATGGGCGGGGTGGGGGGCGGGACGCAATGCTCCTTTATATAGGCGACGGTGGGTCTGGACCGTGCAGTCCACCGTAGAAAAATAATAGGCTGTGAGTTGTTGTGGGCTGTGGGCTGTGGAACACCAAACTAAACAGATTAGTACATGTAGTAGACAAACTGCCTGCCACAGCCGAGGATCACATTCACCATGTTTATCACTCATCCATGATGGGTATGTGTAGCTACTTTAGGGTACTTTACAAGAAAAGTGAGTATCTTTCCTATGACTCACAGCTATCAGGGATACCATCTTCTCGGCGCACTCAGTGGCTCAGGGTCCAAAGGCACTTTTATCTCCATCACTAATGTCTTCTGGATAACGATTGTGACATTGGGAGGCCTAATATGGATTTGCTATTTATTTAGCCTTGATCCTATTTAAAAAATTCCCTTCTAAACAAATCACTTCAGGTAGAATAGATGCTTGCGATAAGGTACTCCAACATATGAATGAGAGGTGGACAGGCAATTTCATGAATCACCGCCCAGAAGATGTGTATTCTATATAGTGTATGATGCAGGTAGCAAACAGGGTATCCATAGTAGTTCAAAACAAAATGCCCAAATGATGCAATGCGTGACGAGACTTGAAGCTCATGGTGATAAAAAAAATTGAGGCGGTAGCAGGCTAACGTTTTGCGTGATCATCTTCAGCCTTGCGCTTCCTATTTAGGCTATCGTCGGCTTCGAAAAGCTTGGATTCCGAATCCAAGATTGGCTGCACTCCATGGTCCTCCTGCTCGTCTTCTGCCTCGACCTTCTCCCAGTCTTCATCGTCGTCTTCATTGACTGACTTGTGCTTCAAAGTGGAAGATGGTAGACTGTTCTGAATCTGGCTTTCCACATGCACGTGCTCGTCATCGTTCCACTGCAGGATGAGTTTGACGATCCTGGCCCCAGAAGGTTTCAGGCGGCGGTAGTAATTTTCAACCACGCCGTCCTCTAATTGGAAGCCACGCGCAAGGTACCATTTCAGACCGTCTTCATTGGCTTCGTGCACGTGTGCCGTGACAGTGCGAATGTTGTAATGTTTCACCAGGTCGGAGACTTGAGGTGGAGCCTTCAGACTCGAAGACGCAGAGGGAAGCGAGGAAGCATAAAGTAGCGAGTTCAGAAGTGAGGCTGCGACTCCACAGCCTCGATACGGAGAAAGAAGGTGAAGAGTCTGGATGTAGAGGTTGGTCGGTTCTTGCTGCTGGGAGTGGTGACATGCCTGCAGGGTTTCCGCGGTAGCGGAAGGCAGTCGCTCCAGCCGACAGCGTATCCCCCCGATGACTTTGTCAGTGCCGGTTGTCGGTGCCTTAAGATTGGTGGATGAAGAAGGTGCGGTGGATGCGGGCGCTGCGGCCACCGGGTGATCATGGTAAACGGCCACGCGGGACAGCGACGCGATCACGGGGTCAGTGATCGTGGCTGTGTAGAATGAGTTCGGGTAGCGGATGGGCAGCAGCAACCCCGTGATCCGAGTCAGAGAGGGTATGTGAGCCGTACTCACGACTTCGACCGTAACGTGCGGGTGCGGAGTGGGGTGGCCTGATGCTATGCGATGGGGATACGCGGTCGGCTCGAAGGGCGTCTCCTTGGAAGAAGGGGGCTGCACTCGGGTGGGCAAGTTGAGTGAGAATGGCTTCGATGATGAGGAAGATGGCAGACGAGTCGCTGGGTATACCGGTGGTTGATATTGCGCGGGTTTGGAGGAAGAAAATGTCGACACTGAAGCCTGAGGGGCAGACAAAGGTGGAGAGGTAGGCGCTTTAGATTGATGCGCCTTGGCGAAGAATTGGTATGCCATGGTTGGCAGGAAATGAGATGCTACAAGCAGTGCAAAGTAGAGATTAAGGCTCAACAGCTGTTTATAGCAGTATAGGGATATCACCAATCTAAGAAAAGACGAGAGAATGAGCAGAGAACGAAGGAGGGGAAAGACGCCTGAAGAGGGGAAACGCGCGATTCAAAGCGGTGGACGAGGAAAACGCGGAGATGCGATAAGATAAGATCGGGCGGTCGGACCGGGCTGGATGAGGCAAAGGCCAGCGCCGAAAGAGCCTCTCTCTCCACGGCCCCCCCTCAAATCCAGGATTGCCCCCTGGTGTTGCGCCTGTCGCTTGCTCTTTGGTCTCTTCTTTGGCCTGCTCTCCCCATCGGCTAGCTTCTCTGCTATATATATGACTGTATTTCCAGGTATCCAGGTGAGTGGACACTCCATGTTGGGATGACGGGCGTAGCGCGCAGTCCGCTGATTCTCCCTACCGTACGCAGGCAGTTAGTTTCCCGCCTCCAGTTAATAAACGCCCGTCACCACTGAAACCCAAATGGACAATACCTATCCTCGTTTTCGCGTGTTACTCTTTTGAATCGGCTGGTATCTCTATAGACCTACCCTCCTTTACAGCTTTGTCAGATCCGACCAACACACACTCGACTGTCTATTACGACATCATCCCAATCGATCCGCATCCGTCGGCGACCAAAGAACTCCGGATCAAAACTCGCTCGAACAGTACATACAGCCTGCATGAAGCTATAAAATCAAAGCTCTTGGGGCTTTGTTTTGCAAGAAGACGGACTTTGCCATACTGGTCGACCTTTTGGGAGAGCCAAGCGCACAAATTGGAGTAGGATACGTTGGTATCAAGGTACGTTCGGACTGTGGCTATGACAGTCACTCTTGACAGAGCGTTATGGGAACGTTCTTATTCTACCAAGCAATCTTCCTTGTGAGAGACGGTAGTACCGACCGGCGCACTTTTGACGGTTGCCGCTGCTATTGTTTTGGTGTTTTTCTCTCGTGTAGCTCACGCTTTCAAGCTATGCAGTGTCTAACGATCGGCACTTAGAACACACAAATTACAACGATGGGCGAGTCAAAAGGGGCTGAGGAACGGGGATCCTCTTTCCCTCCCGGGACGATAGCGAAACTAGTAAGCACCTCAAGCATCATGACTCACGTTTTATTTGCGCAGATCTATTCTCTACTAGTTGCGCTCCATTCTACACAGTGCTAATACAGTGCAGACCTGTGAAATCCTCAATGACACATTCTACAACATCATCCATGACATAGTCGCCAAAGTACACCGCGATGAGAAGGTTTCCCGCATGCGTTCCGCGGTTGTTGCTGCCCGACAGAAGGCAGATGAGGAGGCGACCAGGCGTCGCGAAGAAAGCGGGAAACCGGCCAGCGCGTTCAAGCCAGGCGATCTCGATTTCGAGGAACTCAAGGACATTCGTGTGGAAACCGACGGGGCCATCTTCGACGAGGGCAAGGTCTACTTGAAGGGCAACCCTCTACAAACCACCAAGGATATCATTTGTCCTGATTGCCGGCTGCCGCGCCTCTTGTACCCTGTGACAGGCGTCGGGGCTCGTGCCCCTCCCGACCCGTACCGCGAGTACTGCCAGAAGCAGCCGACGATCAGCAAACCTGGCCACGACGTCAACGGGAACCCATTCGTGACGGACAAGGTAAAACCTCAGAAGAAGAAGCAAGTCACCACCTCGAATACCCCCGGGTCGAGCCCACCCACGACCCCCGACGGTTCCTTCAAGCAGGCTGTGCCGGAAAGGATATCGTTCCCAACGGTGAAGTGTCCGAACTGCCCAAGATACTTCGTCGTGACCCGCGTGGCGCAGCATCTGGACCGCTGCTTGGGCATCTCCGGCCGACCGCTGGGTGGCCGCAACAAGACCCCCTTGGAGAACACCAACACCGGCAACAGCACGCCCACCTCCGCTCCGCCCAAACGGCCCCTGATCGACGACGATGGCCCGCCGACCATGAACAAGAAGAAGAAACTCGGTCCTCCGAAGAAGCTGGCGGGGAAGAAGCCCACCCCTCCCAGCAGCAAGCTCAAGAACGGATTAACCCCGGACATGGCCGCTGCAGATGATGCATTTGGTGAGCCCGATATCAAAAGCGAAGCCAACGGGGACAATTCTTGACAGGGACGCGGGGGTTCACCTTTCTTTTGCTCTCTGTTCTATAATCCCGATCTCTGTTGTTCATTTGACCCCCCTTCCCCACCACTTTCACCTCAAATACCTCCTTTCTACTCTTTAATTTTGCCCCCAAACCCCCTTCATCCTTGGCAAGACTCCTTCCTTTCTGCATCGCAAAAAGAAAAGCCCGAGACACTTGGACATAACAGTCTCCATTTGCCATCACGAAAACCAACTCACCATTTTTTGACGTAAATACCCGGCATTGTGAAAGGCGTCAATAGGCGGGAAAGAACCCACTACTTCAGGACCATCGCGTTCACTCGCACAAGAAGCAAAGACAAAAGTCTCTGGGACATCATCGGCGCTGTGCCTTCCTCTTCATACTTTTCTTTTCTTGCTTGATTCTCTCTCTTTGTTGATTACTTTTTGTCATGTTTTGCTCCGTTCGGGTGAACTTCTGAAATGTTATTGGGTGTTTGATTTTTCCTCTTTTCTCGTC